CCACTTGTGAATTTTATTAAGACATAATTGTAATTGCCTTTCTATTGTGTGCATATTTTTATCACGACAAGATATGTTAAAATCATCCACAAAAAGTGATCCTTCCACTGAATCCTTTAAAACTTTTGACAAACTGTTACTTTTTATACTGAATAAAGTGACAGACAAAATACTGCCTTGTGGGACACCCTGATCCTGATTATAATGATCAGACAGGGTTGTACCCACCCGGACTTGAAATTGCCTGTCTGTTAAAAACTGGGATATAAAATGAGGCAGACGGCCTCTTAATCTAAAATCATGAAGATCTTTTAAAACGTAACGTAACGTAAGCTTTTTCTAAATCGAAAAAGATCGATACAGCATGTTGTCTATTTACAATGGAATTTTTAATGAACGATTCTAAACGCACTAAATGATCGATAGTACTTCTGTTTTTCCAGAAACCACATTGTATATTGGTAAGAAGATCATTTGTTTCCAAGTACCACACTAATCGATTATTTACCATGCGTTCCATAGTTTTACAAACACAGCTAGTTAGAGAGATAGGTCGGTAATTTGATGGATCAGAATGATCCCGCCCAGGTTTGGGTATTGGGATAACAATGGCATTATGCCATGAAGGTGGAAACGTCCCTGATGTCCAAATGTCATCGAATATAGTCAACAAAGTTTCAAGGCATGATTCGGGCAAGTGTTTCAGTAGCTGATAATGAATATTATCAGCGCCTGCTGCTGTATCATGAGCTTGCCCTAAGGCAGTATATAGCTAATGTAGTGAAAATACTTCATTGTAATCTTCACCATTATCAGATGTAAAATTTACTTTTTTCTTTTCCTGTTGGAGCTGATATTTTTGAAATTCAGGAACATAATTTGATGAAGACGAATGTTGAGATAAAGTTTTCCCAAGTCTATTAGCAATAGCAGTTTTAGCAGTTAGTAAAGTATCGCCATCCTTTAGATGGTTAACTGTAGAATGTGAACCCTTGCCTTTGATCTTTTGATCATGTTCCATACCTTGGACATAGGAGTACGAGTGTTTATTTTGGAGACATAGTTCCTCCATGATTGACGTTTATTTTGCTTAAATAGACGTCTTGCCTTAGCATTTGAAATTTTGACAGTGTTTAAATTATGGACAGTAGGATGTTTACGGAAGTATTTCAATTTTATTCAGTTGATCTGAGAACAACTGAATCGGGTCAGTAACATTCTGAAAAGACGTAGGTTGTAATTTATCTTTGCATAAAGATTGAAATAAAGGCCAATCAGCCTTCAAAAAATTCTATCGAGGTGAAGGTGGATCATCAGTGGGATTAATGGGTTTAAGTACGGTGGGGAAATGGTCACTTCCACAAAGGTCATCGTGGACTGACCAGGAGAATTCGTTTAACAAAACTGAACCCGTCAGAGACAGATCTAGAGATGAATATGTGCCAGAAGCAGGGTGTAAGTAAGTGTCGGAGTCATCATTAAAAATGCAAAGATTATTATCGGAAACAAAATCCTCGATCACTTTTCCCTTTTGATTAATGGTTGAACTTCCCCATAAAGGATTATGCCCATTTAGATCACCCATGATGACACAGGGCTCTGGGAGCTGGTCGTATAGTTTTTGTAGATCATTACGCTGAAGATTTGAAGAGGGAGGAATGTATAATGAGCAAAGTGTGAAGGCAATATGCAGTGTAAGTCTAACTGCAACTGCTTGCAAATTCGTGTCAAGCCGAACAGGACTGAGAACAACGCCCCGCCGCACCAACATAGAAGCACCTCCAGTAGCTTTATCTCCCAGAGGAGAAAAAGAATGATAGGAACTATACTGCCTTAATTCAAATTTATCTGTATTTTTTAAGTACGTCTCTTGTAAACAAATTGCTGATGGAATAAATCTGTTGTTAATAACTGGGAGTAGTGGTCTGATTTTTGAATATTTTTTTTGCATCCAAGTAGGATATGTTTCATTCGCATTTCAGTTTCATAATTTGTGATTCCATTTGCCACACAGGGCATGATTTGGAGGAAGCAACATTTGGTCCAGAACAGTTAGCGCACTTAAAATCCTTCTCACAGTCAGTGTTATCATGGCTGTCACCACACCGATGACATGCCACAGAGCTATGACAGGACTTTGATCCATGACCAAAACGTGACACTTGTAGCATCGGAGCGGATTGGGGACATACACATCCGCTCCGATACTGAAATACCCTGCTTTTATTGACTGCGGGAAGGTTGTACGGGCAAACGTCAGAAGATACGTATTTGTGTTCGTGATGACACCGTCCTTCTTGAATGTGAAGCGTCTCCCAACTCTGTAGTGATTTCTACTTCAGACATGCCAGACAGACAACGAGCCCTGTCACGAACAATGCCTCGACAAGAATTTAATGTTCTGTGCTCAGACACAGCAACCTCAATATTTGCAAATGTAGAGATAGATAAAAGATTGAGAGATTGCTGTCTCCGAGCACACTCCACCAGAAGCGAACCACTACGGAGACGGGTAACGTTCTTCACCTCACCGCAAACCCCAGATCAGCCTTAGAAATAGCAAAAGGATTGAGTTTGATGGGAAGGTTATCAGCAGCCTCAATAACCAGGAATCTAGCCCAGGTATCAATATTTTGAGCAATACTTCCAGTTGAAATATCGATTTCTTCTAATCTTCTCTTTTTTTCATTTCGAGATGAACCAGATTGTTGTAGAGCCATGATGAAAGAAAATTATTCGGCACCCCTGCTCCCCACCCACCACAGGGACAGTGTTATGTTGCATCGGATATCCAGGATGCAAACACCAGGGATACAGGGATGTTATACTCCAGAGAATATGACGCGAACAGCTGTATTTGTTTACCAACTCAATGCCAGACTGGTTCGGCCCATGACAAGAAATTGAAAACATACATTATTCGGAGGTCAACATCACCAGATTGGCCCATGAGCCACCGCCTTCTGGCATAAGACTCTAGGCAATTTATTCGATCCAAAATTCAGTATTCACACAAGTTATGCACGGCCAAGACCAAAATATACAGTAAAATACAACACAGGTGTGCATATACAATATTACGCACAGGGCCTGGCATGACCAGCCGATTGATAAGACCGGGCCCATCTTACCACCCGTCTAGGCGAAGTAAGGGTCGAAGTAGCGTGTTGGGCAAAGGAACACAGTTCAAGGAAAGAATGTCCTCAACTACCAGAATCCCGTCCTCCGCCGACACAGGGGCGCAACCCACTGCAAACAGGTTGCCCAATTCGGTTGCCTTTTACGACCAGCAATGGGGTGCTGTGGAAGTATTCTGCCCCGGTTCCACACGGGGGAAGAGCTATTAGCGCAACCCAGCACTCACCACGAGGAGGTTGCTCTTCGCGAGTGCCTGATGCTATGGATAAAGCTGCACCTCATAATGAACTGGAGTCCGCAATTACAGAACAAGCAATACTAAATGGTATACTATCATAACAGAAGGGTAAATCATCAGGTTTAAATACTGGAAGTGTTCACATCAACATGTCAAATAAGTACTTCATTCGACAGGACTTGTTCAACAGGCCAGTTTCCACGTGTTTCGGAGTAAAAGTGTGATGGTAATCAATTATTTAATGGCAAAAGATATTATCGTAATAACTACAGGGACACAAGAAAATTGGTGTTTTCGGAAAGATTTTTTCAACAGTAACTAACTGTAGATTAAAATCTTCGTCCAAAAATAATAACAAAATATGTAACAGACAAGCAGGTTTTGACGCCCGGACATACATCAATTGATAACTTGTTCACACTGACTGCTGGTGTACAAGAATATTTAAAGTAAACTTAACGTTCCCAACGTCTTTTTCAAAAATCCATTTGATTTTGTAGACATAAAACAACGTACGCATGTCCTCGAAAACTATGGTCTACCTATTAATTTTGATTATGATTCAGTCTATGTACTACGATATAACGGTGGTAACAGTAGTTTTAATGAGTGGTTTGATTGGCCTGTCCCTGGACTGAAGCAGGGTGTATTAAGCCAAATTTATTGTTACTTTTTATTAATGAGTTGGCTGCTGAAAGTCTTGATACATGTCGAAAAAAAGTATCATTTTTGAAAGATTTACAAAAAAAATGTTTCTATCAAGGTTTGCTGATGATGATATTTTTACTTCTGATAGAGTAGGTTAGCTACAAGAGCAACGGAACATTTTTTATGATGATTGTTTAGCATGGAAACTAAATGTCAACCTGTCAAAAACTAAAATATAAGTGAGATTGTTAAACAGTTTTGAGTGGTATATTTATTATTATATTGTAGAAGAACAAAAGTACCCTGGACTATTGATCATGACCCCCATCTTTAAATTTAACTAGAGCAGTGTCATATTTGGCGTCAAATGGAAACGGTCAACTTGAAATGTTCCTAATGTGGCCTGGACATGGGGAAAATTCCTCTGATAATGTACTTCAAAATATGTAATTACAAAATGAAACCTATCATTCTGTGTGAATGCGAAATAAGTGGTCATCAAATATTACGTTACAGGTGCAAATACTTGCGCTGTCTCGAACCTGTGACTCAGTCCCTTTGACTTTAGAATTTTATCTCTAAGTTGGCATTTGTCACATCAACAGCTTCGAGAAACGCAAATAAGCAATTCACATAGTTGTTGTAAATTCTGCCATATACAGGCTGTGGAATCCTGAATATAGTATAAACAGAGATCTCTTGTCTAACTTGGTTTCGTTCACAGAAGTCATGGGCATTAAGTGCAAACAAATATGTCCCTGACATTTCATTGGTTTTTTTTATTTTTATAAATACCAAGACCACGTGCAACTCATTCAGCTGTTGTCGTTCCTACACGTAATACATGTACACATGGACATTTGTCACAATTTGTATTGGTCATTTCCTGCATAATTACTTCAATTAGTTTATGTCGCTCAATAGCCTTTTATACAATGAATATTCACCTGATCTAAGCTCGTTGTACATAATACAGGTACTACCTGCCAGGAAGGAAAGTTCGGAGACACCTGTAGCTACTCATGCCACTGTACTCCGCCCTGTAACCAGACAACTGGAGTCTGTAACGGTGCATGTGATCGAGGTTGGTTTGGTGGGAATGGGCAAACTTGTCAGAGAGGTGAGTTTTCTTGCCACAAGTGTGTGTGTGTGTGTGAGAGAGAGAGAGAGAGAGAGAGAGAGAGAGAGAGAGAGATATATATATATATATATATATCTGACTTGCGTCTTATGTATATAAGTGCCCAGCAACGACGGGATACCAATCTGAAAACACTGACTACCTACCGCATCTCTACACAATTTTCTATCTTTTTTCACATTCAAGATATTCGATAGTGACTTTATGCAAGATATTCATAGGTGCACTGACTTGTTATAGGTCCTGTTAATCATTGCTGCTTCAAGTCATTTGACCTATTGTGCTGCCTCTTGTGGATGTAAGCTTATCATGTTTGTTTCAATATAATGTGGTAACTATTCAATGATCTTGTGTGGTTAAATTCTGATGTCGCAATTCAGGTCTGCAAGAACCGATTTCTGGGTTTACCTTCGTGTTTCAACATAGGGAATCACCTCGTAGCAACATGCTGTAAAACAATCGAAAATGTTTCAAAGCCTTGCATCCCATTTTTTCATCCAAACAGATGACACCACACTCACCACATCTGTAGTTTGTATATTAAACTTTTCAGAGTCTACCACTAGTTACATCTATTTTAAAGCTACGTGGATGCTGACACCATAACGCGACTGATCACATGATGTTTGATATGGTTTGAAATTAGATCTTTGATATTTCAACAAAAGTGTGTATCCTTTTGGATATATCCTTCAAACATTCACAGTTTCCGCATGTCTGTAACAGTAACCCCTAATTAATTGTGCAGATATCACTTATCTGTTGGATCCACCAAGGTGAATTTCCTAGGATTTAAGTAGCAACTTTTCCCTTATACAAATTGCAATTCTAAAGTATATTTATCTTCGTACTTGTTGGTACAAGAGAACGTTGCCTTCAACAAAACAGCATCTTCGTCCGCAACTGACTATGCGTCTAAAGGCTGGACTGCAGACAAAGTTGTGGATGGGAACCGGGACCAGGATCTGCTCCACAACTCCTGTTTTCACTCTCATTCTTTGGTACCTAATCCTACGTGGACAGTGGACCTGGGACAGCCGTACAGGATACACGACGTCAGGATATACAACAGGGCAGGATGTATGTATCAGTACGGACAGTGTTGATTTGCAAGATATAACAAAACATTTTAGTACACGCCGATCAGGAACAACGTGTTTCTGTCACATTTCAACTAAATGTGGTCACATGGTGTTATTTGACGTCCACACGTTCCAGCAACAAGATGATAGGTGAACAGAATCATATCAAGTGCCATGTGATTAGCTATTTGTTATTGTTCAAGAGCACATTGCACCCTCCGTCAGTATGTCATTTATTTCATTGCCTGTTTTAGCTATTCATTTGATCAGGACTGCTGTCCTCACACTGAGTAATACCAGCAGCTCCACACCCCGCGTCACCTGCTACACCTTCCCCTCTGACACAGCTCAAACACCCGACAGCGTGTACGACGTGACGTGTGACGGCACAGGGAGATACTTCACCATCACACACAGCACAGAGCTAAATCTGTGTGAGGTGGAGATTTATGGTATGGATAATTGCTCATAACAGTTAACTGTGCGTAGGCACTGCCTTTTAATTAGCATATATTTGATCTCTAGATAATACTAAAGCTCGGAACTTAATACATTAATTTCACGAGTGACATATTTTCCATAATCACTCGTACATGTACCTCGTGGGTCTTTCTATAAATATTCGATGACTGTGACTTTTGTTATGTTTGCTATCTTAAAGTGCATGTAAAGTGAAAACATTGATTGTGATGCTCCTTCGTGTGAATAATCGGATTCCAAAAACATATCTATGCATGGACTAATGCTACCGGCACAACGTTTCAGGGTTTCATTGGCTGATCTGATGACTTGGTTTCAGCGTTTGCTATATACTCCATCTTGTGATGCTTATCAGCTATACAGATACGCCAGGAAGCAACCCAGAGCAAATCTAGAAGTGTTGCTATATATGTTAATCAAACGTTGTGGGCACTGTAAACGAAGGATCTGAGAGAAACAAAGCCCTGTAATGCGATTTAAAGAAACCGAGGCGGAAGATGACAGACTGGCCACCGCCCAATCATTGAAATTGCGCAGTGCGTCAAACACCGGAACCGTTTTAACCCAAGTGGTTGATTTTTTGTTCGGGGACGATTTCACTTGTCATTTTCTTATCCTTTCTTTATGCTCATCCGTTTTTCTAATAAAATTTGGGTCAAGCATTTGTAAAGTATTAAATTCTGTGAACAGTGTGCACCCGAATATGACTGCGAAAGGAGTATGGAGGACTGTGAATTAATGGACAGGACGATAGTGTAACTTAACCATATTTACGCGCCGCTTTCGGTGTTTTAAATACGATATTTGCATTAACAATGTCACGATCTGTCCAATTCTACTAAGTTTTACCCACTCAGAGCACTTTAAGATCTCTTACAAATGACGTATACATTCCTATAAACTGGCTTAAATAAAACGCAAAGCTCTTATGAAATAGATAGGCTCTGAACTGACAAGGAATGAAGTTTCAACATCCTTATCTTCGTTGTAAATGAGGCGCAGTGGAACAAAATCGATATCTTTTCTTTATCGGTTCCTTTATTGATTCTTTTGAATGAAAACTAAGTTTTAGTGTGAAGACTTTGCCTTGCAAAAAGAATCAAATATGTACAATATTACCACTGCCACTTGAAAATCTTGCAAGTTGATATCAGAGGTGAGGTGACCTGGGGTTGAACGCTGCGTTCAAGATTATTGCACTTATATAGCGACGTGTATGCATTTTTCAGCGACGTGCATTCGTGTGAGTGTGTGTGTGTGTGTGTGTGTGTGTGTGTGTGTGTGTGTGTGTGTGTGTGTGTGTTTGTGTGTGTGTGTGTGTGTGTGTCTGTGTGTCTGTGTGTGTGTGTGTGTGTGTGTGTGTGTGTGTGTGTGTGTGTGTGTGTGTGTGTGTGTGTGTGTGTGTGTGTGTTTCTGTGTCTGTGTCTGTGTCTGCTTGTACTAGTCCGGACTTATGCCGATGTAGTCGTGTTAGTCCACTGAGGTACCATTCCACAGTTTAACATGAATACCCCCACTCAGACAGTATACTGACTGCAGACATAGATGGCTCGGACACGTGAGTGTATCTGTATTACTGGCCCTTAGACGAGGCTGACATAAAGATATAGAAATTCAGTCAGCTGTATGTGTGACTCGAGACCAGGGTTACAGGGAGACAGGTGTGATGCAGGGGAGGAGGTTCAGTTGGTGGTGACTGTCCTGGATACCGGGTGCCACTGTTGGGGCAGGATATGCTCACCTTTCCACAAAACAAATGTAATCAGCACTAGTTGTTAGTGATTCATAAACATATGCTCATGATATTGTCGAAGATGTAAAATGTTTCAGTAGAGATCTTTTCAGCTCTAATTTACTGTTATTGTATGTTGAGGAGCAAATAGGGTAAACTATGAAATTTTAAATGATCTTTTTCGTGAAACCTATGAGTAAGTATTTCAAAGTATACATATACAGCAAACATTTGGACAAAGTCAGACCATTGGTTTGAAAAAGACACATTTGAGCCCCCAAACATGTTTTTAAACATAAAACGGATCAGGGAAACACAATGCAGAAGAAAGAGTTGGCTGTAGTCAAGTCAAAGAATGTCTCCCGCCCATGTAAATAGGAGCAACATATAAGTTTTATACATTCGTGTCTAAGAGAAATAACATGTTTGACATATAAAGACAGTTGTAATATGACAGCATCCTTTTTGAAGAGAGAAGGGAAATCAAAACAGATACAAGGTGCCTTGACAGAAAGCGTTCTGGTATAAACGTATTTCTTAGATTACAAAAAGGACATAAATAGTAAAGTGTACTTCATTTTCTATAGCTAAATGATATTTTCGGCACAACCTCTTCTCATGTTTCACTGGACATTTTTGTTGCCCATGCCTCTACAGGTGAAAAGATTGATGTTTTGGCATTCCACTGTAATAAAACGCATTAGTCAAAGTAAATAAAGTAACACTGCCAAACCTTGAGGTCGCAGAACCAAAAATGATGAACGTCAGAGTCCGCAGATGCGATCACAAACTTGCCGGAATTGGAAAAGAAGTTAACAGGGAACAGGACAAACACTTGTTATTTGCAATGAATTAGTTTTGAATTTTTCTGCCCTTAGTCTCGAGACCTATGAGTTGAGGATTTTCAGTATGCCATTGTCCTCATTGATCCACATGTACATGATTGGGTTACAGACTGGAAAATAAATAGTTAATAATGAACAGAACGATTACGTTCTGGGTAAGAGGCCTACAAATAATAAGAACAACTACAAAAGGGATTCTGGCTTTTCACTTGAAACCATAAACATGTAATGTGTTCATGCCAACCATGTTCAAACATTATGTTAAATATTATTGAACCTTTGTATAATGTGCTCATGATGGCTTTCGTTTGAGATTCATAGGAAATAGCTTGTTCATACATTTACACAATTACCATTTGGAAACAAATACCTCTAATGTTATCCCGTATTATTTAAGACTTGGTCTTTAAATAAGTCATCATCCGGCAAAATAGCAATGACCTTTTTTATCATATCCTTCAGTGTGAAAGACAGTTTTCCGAAGTTGAGAAAAGGGATATTTCATTGCAGTGAACATAACACTTGATATTTCACTGCAGTGAACATAACACTTGATAGTTCACTACTATGAACATAACACTTTGAAGGAACTATTGTCAAACAAGAATGACCTCCCTTCAAATTGTCTCCCTTTATAGTAAGAGTCTCTCCCGCACACAAACTGTTGATTTCCTTTTAACGTTAGTTCAACATTGACAAGGCAAAATAAAGACAGATGGTTAATGTTTCCTCATCCCGTTTGTTATTCTCTTGATCATATTTCGTTTTAAACTGTAAATGTTTATCTTAAACTCGCCAATCGAATGTTACTTGACCAGCGTGTATTCCAACAACGGTCTTGAAGTTTTCAAGAATATTTTGGATTTTGTATATAATCATATCTATATGTATGGTACAGATTTTTAGTCACCCAAAATATGTTTTGTTACTTTTGTTTATTTGTTTATAAGATTTTGCAAACACGAAACTACCTTTTTAGTCGCAAATACAAAGGGGGTGAACCGTCCCAGTGTGTCAGGTAGGGATAATTTACGTTTCAAGGTATTACATTTTTAATGAAATACGTTGATTTTCCCGTACATAACTACACAAAAAGTATATAATAATTAGGACAGGATACGAAGATATCCCGCGGCAGGGGGAAAAAGGTATATTTTCACGAATGCTTACGCCAAACATGTCGAAAGTGTATTCCATTGTTAAGGCTACTGACTCTCATTTACAGTGACTAAACATACTATTCTAGCCATAAAAAGAACATTTAACACTCTGCTATTTGTAATATGTAAATGACCAAGTTACTTCTCCACAGTGTGCTCAATTGAAAGCTATGGACAGAAGTGCAACAACTTGTGTACTGACAGGAAGTGTGCTGGAGATTCGACCTGTGGTCACATAAACGGGACATGTGTTTCCGGCTGTGCGCCAGGTTGGATGGGTGAAGACTGCAGAGAAGGTGTTATCTGAATAACCATTTTAACGTATTACTGACAATCTTTCAACAGTGTTATTAGCCTTTAAAACATGTGGTAGTATTATTAAATACTTGTGAAGAATGAATACATATCTTTAGCATGTTGTGGTGTACGCAACCGCTGACAACCGTCTGTAAATATACGAGGTTTGAAGTGTAAAAACAGCATTCATGAAAATAAATGTAACTTGTAATCAAGCCTTTATCTCGAGTCCAATGGTAATTGTTGCACCCTGTGATATTTGCAAGAAGATGAGGGCTGCATAAGTTTGATTCCACCTATATGACGTTTGCCTTTAATCAATTCAATCTGTACCAGACAAACCATTAACTGATATTGGGAGCAATGTCTCACGCCATCGGGTACTATGTCCTGCTGTCAATCTGAACACCAAGCATTATCACCCTGTCATGGTCGCCTCATACAACAAGCATAGGTTGCAGGGGACATGTATGAAGAAAAAATGTTTAACATAAATTGGACAAATGTTCCAGCATGAAATTCAAAAGAATGCATCATTTTGTCCAATCCACGTGTGATCTACAATGCAAATCACAAAGATACTAACTAATTGATCCTACTATAAATACATGTTAAAACCCAATTTAATCAACCAAACACTATGTTCAACTCTTTTTCACCCTTGTATGGTGCCTGGTCATGGCTTAAGTTTGAGATGAACAGAAACAGATTGTTCATACATTGTAACCAATACCCATTTAGTAAACATTTCACATTCTGTTTATACTGTTTTATCTGAACTTTGGACCGGTGTTAAATACGTTTTAAACTGGTAGTTATCATTACAATATTAGCATTATTATTATAATCATAGCTATAAATATACTCTGTTCATAACATTAAGATTGCTCCGCAGGGTGCTCAAATGGCAGCTATGGACAGAACTGCAGCTACTCGTGCACTGACAGGAAGTGTGCTGAGGACTCGCCATGTGATCACATAAGAGGGACATGTGTTTCTGGGTGCGCGCCAGGTTGGATGGGTGAAGATTGTAGGGAAGGTGACCATCTGAATGAATATTTTAACGTTTTACGCACAATCTCTCAACGGTGTTATTAGCCTTTATAACATGTGGTCGTTTGAATAACGTTTGGTGCAAATAGTGATGTACCCAACCATTGAGGTTTGAACAAGCATTAAGACAATAAAAACAGCATTCATCAAAATGTATGCTTTACAAAAGGAACCTACTATAACATGTTCAAAACAATGTTTATCTCGAGCCGTTTCTAAATCACGCAAAACGTTATAACCAATCATATTTTGTGTTGTAACAAATCATTTTAAGCTACAACAAGGTTTTGTATTGTATCAGCAATATTTCACCTTTATGACGTTCGCTTGTCTGTAATTGAATCTGGACAAGACTCTTACTACCCTTTCACGGTCGCCTCTTATGAAAAGTATAGGTTACAAGACTATCTCGTAAGCACACTGATATCAAGTAAATTTCCCTTTGAAACTATCCTTTTTATTTAAATTCCACATGTGACGAAAATGCATACAACTCATATTTTGAATTTGATAATAGGCATAACAATATTTAGCAAAAGGGTTCTAATGTGTTCGTGACTTCTCCACAGCATGCTCAAATGGAAGCTATGGACACAACTGCAACAACTCTTGTACCGACAGGAAGTGTACAGGAGACTCGCCATGTGATCACGTTCAGGGGACATGTGTTTCCAGGTGTGAACCAGGGTGGATGGGTGAAGACTGCAGAGAAGGTGGTTATCGTTGTTTACAGTTTGAGTTAAACATAGGAATATATATCGAACGTGTATTTCTCGACGTGTTGAGTCTCCTTTGTGAGTGAGTATTGGCAGTGCATATGTAACCTATTGATATGAACAATTACTCAAATTCATTTATATTTTCTATGTCGGAAACAACTCATACCACAACATTAGGTTCACACGATAATGTTCCAGTCTGTTACATTGGACGTTACGGAGCTAACTGTGACAAGACTTGCGCCTCCAGACAGTGTGTGGGGAACTCTTCCTGTAACTCAACAGGGGACTGTGACAATGGGTGTGAGACAAGGTGGACAGGAGCGGACTGTACAGGTAATGATGTTATGTCACGAGGGAGGAAGTGTGAAGGAGACTCGCCATGTGATCACGTACGGGGACATGTGTTTCCGAGTGTGTGAGCCAGGGTGGATGAGTGACGACTGCAGAGAAGGCGATTATCGTTGTTAACAGTTTGAGTTAAACATAGGAATATATATCGAACGTGTATTTCTCGACGTGCTGAGTCTCCTTTATGAGTGAGTATTGACAGTCGCATCTGCAATATTCCAGCGATATAACAACTATCAAAGACGATACGAATATTCTCTGAATATATCTTTGACATACGTAACGTATTGATGAACTATTACTTAAATCCATTTATATTGTCCATGTCGGGTACAACTCATTTGGCAGTTTCATGTTTACACAATAATGTTCCAGTCTGTGACATTGGACGTTACGGAGTAAACTGTGACAAGACCTATTCCTCCAGACACTGTGTTGGGGACTCTTCATGTTACTCAACAGGGCACTGTGACTGCGGGTGTGTGACAGGATGGACAGGAGCGGACTGTACAGGTAACTTTGTAATGTCAACAGGCAGCTATGGCTGTGAGTGAAGAGTTGGCAGTGGCTGGACGTTAATATAGCAAGGTATTTTGTGTTAAAAAGGCTTTGAATACCTGTAAAATAAAGAAATGCAGCATTAAAGGTACTGATAGAAGCGTGAAGAGCAGTGGGAAGTGAAAGGTAATGTAATCGATGCGCTATATCGTTTTCAATTGGAAAGATAGAAAACTTGTACTCAATACTTTGTAATGAATCATGCGTGATAAACATGGTTTGTTATGACAGCCGTACGAGTTTAAAACAGTAGCATTCTTTTGTTGTACACTGTCGCATTCATCTCTTTTTCTTAGAAATCTCATCGTCTATCTAATTAATCTCAAATAGCAATGTGCCTAGGAAATATTTCATACACCCTGTCCTGTTTCATAAGAATATATCGGATCATCTTTTTCAAAATCTATTTTATAGATATGGTTCAGTTTTTTGTATACCATTATCTCAATACAAATTTGAATTTCCATTTGGACTGAAAGTGCAACAAGTATTTGTCAATTCGCGTTTCATCCAGTCATATCAAAAACAAATTGTAGGCACGTGTTAAACACTAAAATTTGTGGTCCTGTTTTTGGTCGATTCCCACGTCAAACCAAACGACAAGGTATCTCAGTGGGCTAGCACTCTAAATATAGTCGGACTAGTCCAATAAGACACACACGTATGCGCGCAAGCACTCACATACATGCACGTGACAATAAGTACAATAATATGCAACGTTACATTTAACCTAAATCCACCTCACTTCACCCCATCTGGGATATATGATCTCTTATTTTTCGAGGGTGGCTTCATTTAATGATTCAAAGCAAATGATAGGAAATTTAACGAAATATAACGAGATTTGTCTCACATGTGTACTAACATATGTTTGCACATGTCCAAAGAAGATAGTAAAATGAAATGTCAACATGTAAAATATGTTAGACACAGGACCAAGTTGTACTTGATGACAATACTTATACTCTAAGTTTTACTAAATATTAATTTTAAATAACACAAATGTCTTTGATCATTGAGTGAGCTTGACTTTTATGTTTTCAGAAGACGTGAGGAGTGTACAAGCAGCCGGATATAACACTAGCCAGTTAGCTGTTGCCGTGGCAGTGGCATTCGTGGCTGGTGCTGTATTAGGTGTCATCGTCAGTGTTATTGTCTGGAGGAGAAGGAATAGGTAAATGGTCACTCTGATCAAAATATATATTTTTAAGATAAATATTTTAAAAACTCAAAATGTAATATGTCCTTTCGTCCAAAGATAAGATCATACCTGACATGAACATGACGTCATATTGGATAATGCTTCTATGTCTTTCATGTACTTGTTTACACCAAGCTTTGAATGTCCTCACATTCCAGACGCTTAGACAAGACATCGCACCCAACCCATATATCTAACGCTCAAACTGAACGATCGCAGGCCAGTGATGACGTTGGCCCAGGTACTAGGACATACGACAGTCTCAATGCCGTCTCATATGACGCCAAGATGGAAGGAGATACATATTGCACCATTAAATCTAGCAAAACAGATTTAGGAACTGATGCCACTGTTTTTACGTCATGTGACGTGTCCGACTCTAATGGAGCACGGACGTACGAAACTCTTGACAACACGTCACGTGGAACGGATGGTGAATACAGTGAGATCGGGAAACTTAAGTGACTTTCTAGTGACAAATTTACAGTTTAAATAAAATTATATATTGGTACTTGTACCTGTAGTCCCAAAAGGTGGCCCATAACTGTAATATATATTTCTATTTTTGTGGGTTTAAAATTGTAATGAATAAATTCTTAATTTACGTATTTCTGTAGCGTCAGGTCTCTATTGATCCTCCCACCGACCTCACACACTAAGTCACTAAATGGCACAGTTTCAATGTGAATTATGTAAGTTCATTTGGAGTAAGGCATATATTTGATACATGTTATGCACATGATGACGATCATATCATATCAATTCAATTGCGGTTACTTTAAATATAGTTAATATATCATACAAGTAACTTGGGGGCGGACACGTAATGCATTGAACGAAGCTGTATGCTTACATCGTGAAAGAAAAAAACTATCGCACTGATCAACTATCACTATCAACTTTTAAACCCTGAATATGGCTGATATGCTGTACAAGTTGGTTTGAAAAAGCTTAACATTGTATGTTTTGTTCAACTTCAACGATGTACGCATGTGTATTAATTGTTTCAGTTCAACACTGAATTGTAACAGGATACTTGATTAAACAACGTATGTTCATACGTGCATGGTTTTGTTTCAAACAGATCACATGATTCAACATTGCCGGTCAGTCAGAACAAAACACTATGCTGTAACCCAATGTCCCCTGCTGTGAACTGTAAATAGTTTTACAATTATACTCATACAAAAAGACAACGTGAATGTATTTATATGTTTCTATATTGAAGCTATAGCTGGTGTTTACCTTATAATTATAGTTTTGTCTGTGTATGCATAAAGACGTTGTAATAATGATGTCACCACCTTTGTATGTGGTTTCATGGAGATGACAAATTTACTTGATCTGTACACTTATATATATGGATTGCGATTATATATATATGTATATATATATGTCGTAGAATCCTGTGTAGCCGCATGTCAAACTATCAATGTGTATGTTTTGTGTTAGTGAACTTACCAAAGCAATCAGCGACCGTCTAGGCATTTGAAAATATCTGTGATAGACGATTCACTTGATAGATTGCGAGTATGTATTATTGTAATGATGTTATATAAACAGATGCTATAAACAAAATAACAGTGGTACTTTTTTAAATCAGAAATGTCAATTTTCACATGCTTCGCTGACAGGAAAATAGTCTTCGTCTTACTTACACAATTCGTATTTCATCAAAAGTCATTATATAATTAATTACCCCCCTTTGTAACAAGGCAAGCTATGTTGATAAGTTGTAAACTTCATATTGAATTATCGCCCTTTGTTACTAAGGGCGCTTTAAAATTGTCTATTATTATCTCCCTTTGGCGCTACAGCTCTACGAACATATTTGTGTATTCGTTTTGTTTATTTGTGTTTGGGTTGTTGTATTTTATTGTCAAGTTATATTGTATATGATAACACACCAAGTAAGTTAATATGCTATGTTGTGAAAACCACGCAAACCACCTTTCACATTTTGTAAACCTAGGTAAACCCAGAGTAGTATCATATGTGATGGGTCATTGCATCCGTAGCCTCCAACCCTGTAATCTCTATGCACAAGGAGACTTTAGTATCATTTACATTTTATGACTGTGACAGTCACATGTTTGTTATTGTTTTAATGTCTCACTACGTTTTCTGTATATGACTTATGTGTATAAACTATGTTAGTAAGAAAACATGTGGCGACAGTAGTAAGTCTTGAATTATTTACTCAAATTCTAAAATATATCACTCATATGTTGTACTGCTTGACACAGATAACTTTGACATTTACTTGAGTTATTGCTTTTCGTACAGTATAACATCTTTGCGATTATATTGTAATTATATACTATCACTTGCGCTCCCTCAATAAACAACATCAAAACTCTGTGGTCATGGTTTCCTTGTCTTTTCAAGGTTCCCCACATAAACAACTCCCACAATCAAGTGAGGTCTCTACTTACCATTATAGGAACCTATATAACTTTTATGATTGTATGAGTAGGCGCCTCTACTGAAGTACATAACAAACGTGGTTGTCAGGAGTCCAGTGGTGACATCATGCCACAATGGGCGAGTCTGCAAATCATAATGGGCAGGTTAACATGGAGTTTGGATTTAGTTCAGCTACATGCTGTTACTGGATAACATTACCTGATCTGAATAGAAATGAACAGATGACACACTTTATATAGGCTTTATTGTCTTCAGAAAATGAAGCAACTGCCGTTTGATAGATGTACGTGTTATTTCCATGCCATTCAAAACGCAACGAAAAATAATTTAGCGTGGGTTCGAAAACAAGTTTCTTGCTTTGACTGACTTTGTTTCAAGCAAATTTGTTTTCCGTAGCTACAGACTCTGGAGGCTCGTAGATGTATGTGAATATATTTATAATGTCACGTCAAACTGCATTGATACGGTCAGGAATGTTTAATGATTACATCATATGCAACTTTTGATTTATTTGATCGTTTTGTTAAGACCATATGTCTTTAGTTGCGAATGTAAGAAGAGAATAGTAATTAGTAATGAACCGAAACATACACATAGTAAATCATTAAATAAGTAAGAGTAAGACCTCCAATACGTCAACCCAGGTCGCTTCAGATACAATTAACCTGTTAGTATAATATGGGACTAACTAACCTATAACCCTGGATGGCCTTCGAAACTTTGAATTACATTTATTCCGTTTGAAATGATGTACCCGAAGAAACAACTGAATATGTTTTGAGGGAAACCATGTTTGTTCTAAAAAAATCATTGCCATTTATGTAAAACGTTTATTTTCCTTTAGTGCTTTAAACCATGATGCACTTCTTTGTTTACGTTGATAACGGCACTTCCTCATCCAATCTCCCACAATTTATATCTTACATCTACTTCTTATGACGTCATCAAACTTTCACTCTCGTCATCACGTGCGCAATTGTCCATTACGTTCCGTTCATACGTTCCATTCATACGTCCAAACGTGCAATTAGCATGCGTCAGATTGTTCGGATGTGCCTTCGAGAATGGAATATGTGCTGCAACCGTTCACGCAAAGAGATTGAATATCAGACATGCACCAATGATATGAGTGATGTGATAGATATTGCCAGTCTTCAATCAAAAGGAATTGATTGTATCTGCACAAGCGATCATATTCTTAATTGTGATAGCACAGAATATTATTCGAAAAAGTATAACTTCTTTTCCAGTGTCTGTACCTCAGCAAAACAACCGAGTCATGGGTGACTATGTACTTTTACCTGCGGTGACAGTGACAAGATTTTTTGTCGTAGTTGCAGCAGTTGTCATCTGTAGAAAAAGACGAAGGTACAAGATGTTGAGTCCATTTAAATACAACATGACACAGCTGCCAAACTGGGACTTGTTCCATCATCATTTAACTGTAACATTCCTTAGCACTGATTCGGGTACGGATAGATGTGTAGTATTCTCATCAATATGCACAAATGAGATATGGTAAAAAGAATGCAAGTGAACCATGCCATATCGGCTGCCATGTACCCCATATAAAATACACAGAATTTGCAGTTTACATGATAAATGACTTCCCTTTGTTGGAAGCCACCAACCATTCACAAAGATTAGCTTAGTCTCTTTATCAGATATAAAGAATAAATCAGTAATTGAGAAAGCAGATATCAACAATGTGCATGTTCGTGTTGTTTTGCTGGTTTGCTCACGTAGGGTTGTACAAGCTACTGTCCAGACCAATGTGCCCGTATCAACGAGAACTAGATATTTACAGTTGCGATCCTTTCACGGTTACAAAGACATTTTCCTATCTTGATAATCAAACTCCTGTTTCACACCAAAACTAACCACAATACGTTTACTTTTATCAATATTTAAGTCATCCCTATTTCATGTTGTACATATGCATTATAAAGCAATGTGAAGGCGTTAAATGAGGATCATATGGTGAGTAGATCAGCCAAGTCGACTTTGTCTATGTAAGCTGTCGTTTCATACACATATTATGTTATATCTGAAAATGATGATATATCCATCGGTTTTTCACTGATATCGTATATCTCACATGGCATACCCTTCCTATGCTATATTTGCTAACTGTATGATAGCAAAGCGTTGGCGAAGTGTCGACATGAACCTGATAGCTACTCAATGAATGTATATTTCAAATTTCATATTTGTTGTATGGGTTATGATGTGTGACGAACTGGTACGTTTAATGATAACAACGTCTTTATCAATTGTAATGTGGGTTCAGGGCTTCTTCTTGATCCTTCACCTGGAGAATATTGACTAAGGCTATATACACACATGCATAATACTGTTCATATATATACTAGCCACATAAAGAAACTGTGCACGGAGAACATATAGATATAAGGGCACACCGTCCATATATGAAAGATAACTTTGAACACAGTAATTATTGGAGACATTCAAACGCTCATGCACGTGCCATGCGATATGACGTCATTGATGGGGGCCTATGGACGTGCAATGTGTTACTGCATGTGCATCCTGTGCAGCTGTACACAACATGTGCAACTCAAAATTCGCAGTCACTTGGGAAAGCATGATCTGTGGTCATTCAAAAATTCAAAACTTCTCAGGCGCAGACACAAGCATATCACAAGCAAATCTTGCCAAGATTGACAGCTGCACAACGTCATGAAGCCATTGGAATGATCCGAGCGGGAATGAGGCAACAACAGGTGGCAACACATTTCCAATGCCATCGTAACACGATATCGGCATTGGTGAGGCGTTATCAGAACACAAATGTCGTTGCCGACCACCCACGTTCAGGACGTCCACGAGTAACGACGCCAAGACAGGACAGATGGATTCGAGTTACACATCTCCGACACAGGTTCCAAACGGCAGTAACGACGTCCTAGACAATTCCTGGACTGCGCCGTATCCATCCCAACACTGTCAGGAATCGTTTACGTCAGTACGGGATTCGACCACGACGCCCTGCCATACGTCCCATCCTGACACACCGTCATCGAGTCAACCGTCTAAGATGGTGTCGAAATCATGTTCGCCAACCTCGAATATGGTGGAGAAATGTTGTCTTTACGGATGAATCGAGGTTCAACATTTCCCACAGTGACGGGCGCCAACGTGTCTACCGGCGTTTGGGAGAACGTTATGCACGCAACTGTATTGTGGAGGGGAATCGTTTTGGAGGTGGCTCTGTGATGATTTGGGGTGGGATACCAGCACGGCACCGAACCCCTTTGGTGGTTGTTCAGGGCAATCTCACCGGTGTTGGCTACAGAGATCAGATTCTGAGGCCTGTGGTCATTCCTTTCCTGCAACTTCATGGCCCGGGATTGACATTTCAACAGGACAACGCTCGTCCTCACACGGCTAGGGTCGCAATGGATTTCCTTCACCATAACAATGTCATGTTACTGCCATGGCCTGCAATTTCTCCAGATCTCTCCCCAATAGAGCATGTGTGGGATGAAATGGAGCGCCGTCTGCGTCGTCTTCCACATCCTCCAGATAACGTCCGTGACTTGGCAGAGGATTTGAGGAGGATATGGCAGGCCATTCCCCAGGCCTTCCATGCCCATTTGGTGGACTCCATGCGTCGCCGATGCACTGCTGTGATTCACCAAAGGGTGGTCATACCCATTATTGACTTTGTGATTTTGTTTGACCCCCTACTCCATTTTGATCTTCTGACGTCATCGTAACAGATGTTGTTCAGGTCCCGTTGACATTTCCTTATGGTCCGATCATTCAGCTGCTACAGCGTCTGCATCATTTTGTTCTTGCTGTGTTGTATTTCAATCCAGAATATATTTTCTCCGTGCACAGTTTCTTTATGTGGCCAGTATATATACATATGTGCTTACACGGGTCAGGATTAAAGTACAATGTTCGATCAACTTTACCTGGTGATGAAACGTAAATGCTTTCATCTCTTATCATTTTTCCTTATGACCTGTGTTTACCTTATACAATAACATAAACACAAATACATGCAAACTCGCCCGGTTTGATTGTTATATCGTTTCTAAAATAGATCAGATTTTCAATCGTATCATACACATTATCTTTCCAAATATTGCGCATATAGTATGTTGATGTGTTGATAACACTTCACTAGAGGAAGCTATTATAAGGGGTGTGTCTGGTTGTGGTTCATCACATGCTCCATTGCTCAATGGACAATGGTCTGTTTTCCTGTGTTATTACTGCAGGTGTTTACAGTGTAAACATGGTTTCAGGGTTCACCCTTCCCCTTATATCTTAGTCCCCAGTGAGGTGGCCTAGCTTTGGTTCATTATTGTCTAGCTTTTATACTAAATAATCTAAATAATCCAATTCCAAATTATTTGTTTTAATATATTGATCTGGTTTGTTTTCCATTGAGGGATCGTACATAAATGTGTCATGTAAGCCATCAGAAACAATCAGACAATCTGCGTACTGTCATTTGTTTTATGCAATTGTAACCGGGGTTTGTGATGGCAAATACAAGGTCCAACACAGGCTACAGGTGTGAGTCTTTATTGCCTTAGTAGATAATGACACCCTACAATGTACAAAACAACCGCACTATAAAAACAGTAGTACACAGGCTTCATACACACATATATTAGGACAATACAAAGCGACCTTTCATTTCATATAAACATACGTCTATATTCTGAACATGAACATGAACTTAATAATCAATGTTATATGAAATCATTATCTTAACCCTAAAGTAAACAAACAATTCATCAAAGGCGATAACTCTATCCCGAAATAACTTAAAAGATGCAATATATAGACGGTCAATTGTTCTAAAATACAATGAACACTACAAATACAATTACCACTTTGTTGAAACTACTATATTAATTCATTAATTGATCATACATTTGGTATGATACACTA